CGAGCCCATAGGCTTTTAATAGTATCATTACCTGCTCGGACAGATAGGACTGATCTTGGTGAGCTTTGGCCCACTCAGCTCGGAGGTCCTTGATTTCCTCTCCCCTTTGCCCTAAGAGGAGTTTTGGCATTCCTCTCCTCCGTGACCCATTGGAGGTCGGCCTCGTATCGATGCAACTCAGCTCGAGATCGTGAACATGCTTCTCGATGAGCTGCCACGGCCTATGAAGAAAGAAGAAATGAAGTAAGAAAAAAAAAAAGAGATAATACCAACAAAGTAATTTAAGGCTTACCTGATTCAACGCCTGCTGCACTCTGTGAAAAAGATCTGATGCATCACTAGTGCTGGCAGCATCCTCGACACCAGTAAATAGGTCACAAAAAGGATCCTCTCCCTCGTGAGGCCTGTCTAGTTCGAGGGCCCCTAAAGCTTGGGCTTCTGGAATCGCCCCTTCGAAAAAAGAAGGAAAGGTGGACGAGTCTTCGATTTCTACTACCCCAAGTGAGTCTCTTAGGGTGTTTTCTTCGGTTCGAAGAGATTCAGGGACAACACCTTCCGACATATCCCCCATTCGTTGGCTTCGATGGGAAGCATTCTCAATCTCCAACGACTCGGTGACTCTGCCCGAATCTTTCTCCGATATATCCTCAGTTCGAGGCGGGGCCTTATAAACCACCATCGATCCAGCTGCCTGTGGAGCATCGGTGGTCTTCTTCACTCGGGCCACCAGTACATACCCATCGTCTTCTTAATCTTTATCTTCATCCCTTAGACGCTGAACTGATTCTAATGTCAAAGGGATGGTATTCTTCCTCGACTTACGAGTCGACCTTGCCTTCGACTTTGGATTTTCGGAAGTAGAGGCCCTTTTTCTCTTATTTTCCTTTGCCGGTTTAGAAAATGGGGTCGAGGCTTCTTCCTCGATGGATAGAGGCCTTAAAACCGCATCTCTGCCCAGGCCTACGCACAAGAAAATTGGTTGAGTATGTGGAAAATATTTCGTTCAAGGCTTACCATGGTTTTTTGCCTCCCATCGGCCCTTTGCCAAATCACGCCACGAACGTTCGGCGTATGTAGAGGTCAAAGCCAGGGCCCATACCCAGCTCTTAAGGTCGGGAATGGCACCGGGCATCCAAGGAACCGCTGCATCACAAAAGAGATATCGACAAGAAAGCAACAAAGAGATAAGTCGATAGGGAATAAGCAGCAGAATTACACTTACGCTTCATATTCCACTCTTCGGGGAATGGCATCTTTTCAGCTGGGATCAGGTCTGAAGTCTTCACTCGAACGAACCTGCTCATCCAACCTCGATCCTTGTCCTCGTCTATGCTCGACAACATTACCTTGGTAGCCCGGCGTTGAAGTTTTATTTATCCACCTCGAAAGAGGCGGGGACTATACAATTTAGTAAGATGATCGAGGGTGAAAGGCATCCCCACGATCTTGTTTGCAAAGAAACGGATCAGAATAACGATCCACCAAAAGGAAAGATGAATTTGTCCTAAAGTTATTCGGTATTGACGACAAAAATCGATGATAACAGGGTCGAAAGGTCCTAACGTAAAAAGGTAAGTATACACACTTAAGAACCCTTCCACGTGGGTGGTAATATCTTCGTCGGGAGCCGGAATTACCACTTCCTTATTATCCCAGTTGCAATCTGTCTTTAACTGTGCAAGTTGCTTTTTGGTTATCGAGCATAAATACCTCGATACTGGCTCACACCGATCGGGAACCAACAATCCTTTGTCGACCTTAAAATTGGAGGTGAGAAGACACGTTCCAGGAACACACTCCTCAGGCCGTGGCTCCACTGGTGTCTTATTGGCGTCGGGCTGTGTAGAAGAAGCCTCTTCTTTTTAGGGACAGTTTTTGATGTTTTCACCATTTTTTGAGTTTAGAAGAAGGAAATCAAGAAGATATGGTGTTTCAAAGAAAGCTTTTGCAGTAAAACCCACAGAAAGAAAATTTCACACTCATAGACGAATTTAGAAGGTATGAGAAAATGATTAGGAATTTTGAGATCAGAAGATGTAAAAGTAATTAATGGTGATAAATAGGATATTTATAGGCTGAGCGGTGGCGGTTCAATAGCGGTAATGGCCGACCGTCATCTGACACACATCAAATACCTCGGTAAACTGAATCGACGGGACAGCTATCACATACGTCACAATCAAACTCGATGCTAACGTCAGTATATATCTATTCATACCGTTGGAAAATCATGTCGTTTTTCGTTACATCCTTCCCGAGAAACAAAGGGACTATCTGTATACGGTCAAAACCGATTAGTCTATTGTACGGACTAATTGAGATGATAATACTTTGATCGAAGGGCGTCTTCGTAATATCAGGTTGAGGTCCGAAGTAAATTCATCGAGCTTTGAGCTCTAAGACCGATCAATAAAAAACTCGATATCATTATCGAGCTCGTATCAAAATCGAACTATGAGGCGAAGCGAAATTGTGGAGCTTAAGATACATAGACCGACCGGCACTGACCCCGAATCAATACCAGACTCTAAGTCAGAATCGAGGTCGAGTCAAGATCGAGGGCTCGAGTCAATACCGAGCTCGAGTCAGTATCGAGCTCGCAGACAAGAGCTGTTGCAACCGCACTAGGGGAGAGAATCCTGGCGGGAGGTAGGGAAAAGCTAATTCATCATGGATTTCCCACTATGTATTTTCGATTATATCTAATGTAAGATCCCTCCACTATAAAGAGGATGATTGTTGTAAGCATCAGGGCATTGACACATTGTAACAAAAAGATTATTTCTCATATTGAAAGATCAATCCTTTGAAGCTCCATTACTTCATCTTATTTAGTTAATTCATTTTCCTCCTTTTAACCGTTTTTATCTTTCATTCTTATAGTCAAGATTGTACATTTCTATTTCTCTTTACGATTTGTATCAAGTTATACCACATACCCTTAGAACTACGTATAAAATTTAACTCTATCCGATTTTTCGGGTAAACATATGTATAAATCCGGGGGTTCATTTCTAAAGGAACACTTAGTCACCTGCTCCCTTTGAGATTGCACTATCGAGAATGGTAGTGTTAACGTAGAGGACTTCGCTTCAGTTGTTGTCCAAAGAGACAGTAGAGAAACTAAAAAAGATAACGTCTACGTGTCACTATATACTCTTAATTAAAAATATCTTAGTAGATAACTTTAGTAACAAAAGAAAAGGCTGAGTATGACACATCAATAAGATACATACAAAGCAAGGCAGCCATGAGAACTTTGTTAAAATCCAGCATTTCAGCAATTGCAATGAAGAAGCAGAAAAAAAGAAGTTTTGGAATATTTGTTTCTGTCTCTATAGAAGAAGTTGAACAAGAGCTTGAAAAGCTATAAAGAAGAAGAAAGAGACGAATTGAATTGAGGATTATTGAAATGTAAGATTTAGAACCTTTTTATAGGCACTGTGCTTGGTTGGCATTAAGGCTAATTATTCATTTTAGAAGTGATATAAAGATCACCGAGAGACGCATGTAACATCAACCAGTAAGTCTTTTTAATAGAACTAATTTTAGCAGCCAGTTAAATGAGCTTCATAAACTATTTTGTCCAAACTCCTTTATTAAATGGTATCCCATGTTGGTTTTTAATTTATCTTACTCAAACTTGAACTTGAAGAAGCAGATAAAATAAGTTTAGGATATTTTTATCTCTCCTTCTGTAAGCTAGCTGTAAAGAAGAAAAAGAAAGAAAAAGTGAATACGGACAATTTCTAGCTCGTTTTCAACCAAAAAAAAAAATAAATGTATACCAGATGAGGATATTTATAGCTTGCTTTTAAGTTTTTACCTACCAATGGTTGCCTTATGAGGTAGGAGTATAACTTTGATCAGATTTCTGTATTATACATAGGACAAGTCTATAACGTGGTTACTAAAAATGTTTATGCTTATATCCTAATATGTAGGGATTAATGTAAAATGGTTAGTGAACAGTATATATTTTATGAGTTTCATATTATAATAAATGTAAAATGCACATCTTGCAATCCGTTAATGATCTTAATTGGCGGACTATGATTCTGATATGTAGGGATTAAGAAGAAGAAGATTAAGAAACATTTTAGAGATAATTTTATTCCGATTTTGTTATTAATTTTATAGAAATAATAAATGAATCCTTTAAAGTATAACCGTTCATGTGATCGCATCAACCAATCTTCTTGGAATAACCAATTTTAGCCGCCACTAAAAGGAGCGCTTCAAGAAACCATTTCAAGCCAACAAATGGTATACCATGTTGGGGATTTCTTTATTATAGATCAATGCTACAATTGTATACGGTCAAAACCGATTTCGATATTCGTACGACTAGTCGAGATGGGAACATAATGAACCGAAGAGCGTTTTCATAATATCGGGATGAGATCCGAAGCCAAGTGACCGAGGTTCGAGTTTCAGGGACTGATCAATACCGAGCTAGAAGTCATTATCGAGTTGAATCCAAATCGAACTATGATGGGAAACGACGTTATCAAGCTTAAGAGCCAAAGGCCAACCAATACTGAGCCCAAATCAATACCGGGACCCGAGTCAAAATCGAGCTCGAGTCAATATCGAGTTCATAGACAAGAGTCGTTACAACCGCACTAAGAGAAAGAATCTCGGCGGGAATTAGAGAAAAGCTTATTTATCATGCGTTCCCCACTATATTTTTTTAATTATATCTAAAGTAGGATCTCTCCACTATAAGAAAGATGACTATTATTTCTGGAAGGGGATCCAATTATAAAGTCATTGATACATTGTAACTCAAATACTGTTGATGTACATTCCCATATTGAAAGATTATCCTTTTGAACTTCATACATTATTTCATCTTGCTTATTCATAAATCCCTCCCTTCAACTTTGTTTTATTTTCATTCTTTACAGTCAATACTCGACATTTCTACTTCCCTTCATGATTTGTGTCAAGTTATACCACGTATCCTTAGAACCACGTATAAATTCAATTCCATCCGCTTTTCGGGCAAACAGTAATCTAGTGATTTTATTTATAATCCATAATCCTATGACTAATATATATTTCTTAAACTGAATTACAGGAGTAGGTCACAGACTCATAGTTACATTAAACCAAATAAAAAGAAAGAAAAAACATCTACTATACTAGTCGAACAAGATCGAGCACCCACAAGGATAGGGGCAAGCTATCTTCTGAAATCCACTCCTCTCAAAATACCAATCTCCAACAGCCTTAGCAATTTTCTGATAATAAATAAGAAAAAATTAGTAAGTCCCAACAGTAATAGAGAAACACAGAGAATGCTAAAAATCCGTTTAGAAAAACAAAAAAACAAAAGAAAAAATTACCTTATTATCTAATGTTGGAGAATTTTTGTACATCCAATAGCTTTGTCTTTCAACGATATTGTGGGTATGACAGGAGATTATAAAATACCCTCGAGATGAACTTGGTCCTAATCCTTGTAGTGCCTTTAAAAACTTCAGCCTATAATCTGAAAAATAATGAGATCTGAGTTAGTGAGAGAAATTACACGCCCTATTCGGTTCGAAGGTAAGAAACAATCAGTTACGCCAAGAGATATAGTTAATATATATAATCATAACCACACCTGATTCGCAAGGTTTATTATATCGGTGGTTGAGATACACATTACATACTTACCATCGAGTATTTGGAGTTGACTAGGCGTGCATTGACTTATATGATGCTTGCAGTTATTCCAAACACCTAGAGGGTCAACGTATTTGGGAACAAAACTGTAGTTCACCTAATTTTCAAGAAATAAAAAGCACCAGTACCAATTATAATCTAAATCTAAAGGGAAATAAACAAATGAAAACAAAAAGTGGAAAAAAAGTTGGTATTTTTCGAATTTATAGTCTAACCTGCCAAGAATCGTAGGCCGAGTTAATGATGAAAAGTGGCGTTTGCATGTATGGTGCTACATACTGAGGAAAGAAGCACTGCACAAATATATTCTTGTGAGAAAATCGGTGGTAAATGTGCCAATTATATGACTTTAACTTAATTATATAAACTACATTGATAGCGTAAATAATTTTCAAAACTGTGAAATATTATATTTTAACTCTGGTAATAGATAATCTGCTTTATTTTTTCGTTTATTAATTTCACCTTTTACATATGATTACATATAGTAAAAGATATTTTTGCACTGCTTGTAAAAAATTAAATGCGGATTTGGTCGAATCCGATAACTTTTGCTCAAAAAGTGTATTTGTGTTAAAAATTCATTAAGTATGTATAAATATTAAATTTAGAACCCAGTTAGTAGCTCTTAAAATTATTGTTCTAAAATTCAGAACATATAGAATTGAAATTCTGGCTCCACCTTTGTGTTGGTACATAAAAGTTAAACTCCAATTTTATTCCAAAAAGATTGTTCTTACCAAGCTTTTATCATAATCAAAAGCGCAAGCTTGTGGCAAGTTCTTGGCGGACCCCTAAAACCAGGTACAATCAAGATTAAAAACATTGAAAGGAATATAGATAACAAATAAGGAACTAATAAATTATGATTCTTACATGTAATTTAACAACTCTGTAAAACAACTCTTGTATATGTGGATAGCCCGAAATAGTTTCTCTGCATAAACTCATACAAATATTAGTATCAAAATTCAAAACACTGCAACAAAATTTCTAAGGAATCAAAGGGGAAAAAAGAAACTTACACATTAACAAAAAAACCAGAATCAGAAATGCATCTAACTCTAACACTTAGAGGAAGGAGATTGTTGAACTTGTCGCAATTCAATATTGCAGCCAACCCTCCTGCTGAAGTTCCACTCAGTATGGCCTATCATGACATTTTTTTTTTTAAATTTGTTAGTTATGTAAAAATAAAATAGAAATTAACTTAAATATTCGGCCTCCCAAAAAAATAATCGACAAATGTATATATTATACATAACTAATGTACAATATTTGTATATTGGCTAGGGGCTGTATTTTTAGGTGGAGCAGCCAAATATGTTAAAAGACCAAAATATATAAATAAAGCTAAGGGAGTACATTTTCAGCTTTGTACATTCCTTTAGCTAACAAATGTTGCACGATTGCTTTGAAAATCCTTGCCCCTCTGTAGTGGAGATTTGTAGACTGGAAAAGTTTTAATATTTCTTGTTAGAAAATTCAAATTATATTAATATGGAATTTATAGCAATAAGAGAGAATTTGTACAATTGAACTTACTGGATCAACTTCTTCAACATCACCTGTGTAAGATGCCCCATCACAGTACCTAATCTTGACTTTGTTCCAGTCATAGAAATCTAAAAATATTGACATACATAATTTCCCTTTTATTTCATTAGTTAAGAGAGCCAGACAATTTCTAATAATAATAATTTTTTTAAAAAAAGATATTACCAGGATTTAGTTCAGGGTCATTGCTCAAAATTCCTGTAAAATAAGCTTGAGGAGGAATTTGTTTTGAAGATCCATAAACTTGTCCAGCACGAGTTAGGCAGTTTGAAGTGGTGTCACACCAGCCTCCCCCCTGAAAAGTCGGAATTAGTTATGTTGACGACGTATCTGCTGCAACAGATTAAAATATATCGATATTATAAGTTAAATAAAAAGTCGTATTTAGTTATGTTGACGACGTATCTGCTATGACAAGTTAAAATGTACAATAGCGAAAAAATATCTTACAATATAATGTTTTAGTGGATATTATAAGTTAAATAAATAAAAAAAACGAAACTAGGAAACTGCGATTGACTCTAACCTCAAGGTGAAGAAGCCAACGACGAACTCGTGCGCCAGTTCCTTGATAAAAGTTGAAAGCAGGTGCACTTCCATCTAAACATACTAGCATTAAAACAATAACATTATATAATTATATTAACCAAAAACTTATAATTTTTATAATAGTAAAATTGCGAGAGACTAAAAGAATTAAAGCATAATTCTATTTTCGAAAGAAATTAAACTTTTCACCAGCTCCCTCAGCCACAGCACTCTCAAGAATTGTTGTGTTAACGTACTGGGCTTGCGTAGTAGTCGAAACACACAGTAGAGAAACTAACCAAAATATATATATAATTAAATGTTAGTATTTGATTCAACATTGTTGATAATAAGTCTTTTAGACAAACTTTATGAAAAAACAAAAGTAGGGATTCAATATAAACGAAATTAGAATACCAAACACTGCGTAAATAATTGACCCCATGAGCTTTTGCTGACAAAATAAGTTAAGACGAATTGCAGAAAATTAAGGAGGGAGGAATGATACTCTTGCAAAGAAGTTAGGATGATTGGTATATGTCTTGCAAAAGATATGTCCTTTTATAAGGGTGGATAGAGTGATATCTTGCAAATGACCTTCAATTAGTTGTAACTAGCATTAAAGAGAGAAATATTATTCCCTCCGTTCCAATTTATGTGAATCTGTTTGACTGAACACGGAGTTTAAGAAAAAATGAAGACTTTTGAAATTTGTGGTCCTAAACAAGTCAAAAAGGGGCTCAGAGTATTTGTGTGGTTATAAAAGCTTCTCATTAAGGGTAGAATTGTAAGTTTAAGCTAAATTATTTTCAAATTTAGAAAGGGGACATTCTTTTTGAAACGGACCAAAAAGGAAATAGGTTCACATAAACTGGAACGGAGGGAGTAGTAATTTTACGCGATACTTCATTTTCTTAATAATAATAATAAAATAAGACAAAAATATTCCTCTCTTCATATCAAAATTGAACATATGATGGTAGAAGTCGACAAAACAAATTAACTAATTAAGTATTAGTAAAAGTGTTAGGTGGGCGATCAAAGTCCCACATTGGTAGCTGAAAGATTGGAAGTCTGCATATAAATTGTAGTGATCTCTTACTGGTAAAATCGTGATGCATGGTGTGATAGAATTTGAGGGTCCACCAAATTATGCAGAAAATCAGGTTATCTATTAGTTTCCACAGATTACACACACAGCAGAAAGTAAATGACATTGAGAGTTTTATGTGTAAAATTTCTAGCTCAACGGGATCAAAAACCACGATCTACCCTTGTAGGATTTCAACTTCACTACTGAGCAAAAAGTTTAGATTACAACCTATTGTAACTTAGGAATTAACTCCTTAATCCCTCACTAACTTGTAAGACACCTATTATAAGCCACTTTGTAATACCTCTATTACAAAGACTTTACAACTTGACTAACTCTAGCCAAGACACAAATACTAGAATTTATGATTTACAAGAGTTTCCTACACAGTGCTTCTAAGTAAGCTAAGTAGGAATTACAAGTAAGAACATTAACGAAGTTACAACTCAACTAAGGACATACAATCACTTGATATGGGGAACTGGTCCATAGCAGTGTTGTTGTTTGTTCATGATACACTTGAGAATTGTTAACTGGAAGATCAATCACTATTGGAGTGCTTGAGTAAATTCACTAAGTGTTCAAGTGATGTTTTGTCATTGGTTTAATGTTAATATGACATTGATGACATCACTTGAATGATGTAAGCAACTTGGGTACAAGGTCATTCCCAATGGAAGTGACTGATGCACTGTGTTGTACTGTTGTGTGTGCAGGCAGTCACTTTCCAGCTGTTGGAGAATTGACTTGGTACAATCACCAGGGGAACTGAAGTTCATCTGTTTCCCTTGTTGATTCTTTAACATCTGAAATACCGACGAACATCTTTGGCTTAAGTCTGGTTATTTTATAACGACCCGACCGGTCATTTTGAGTATTTGCACTTTGTTCGGTAGTTTGGGGGCACGAGTAGCTCTGTATAATGTATTAGGACTTGTGTGCAAAATTTGCGTTAATTCTGATTTTATTTGATATGTTTCGGCGCGAGTTTTTGGAAGTCGAAAGTTCATTAAGTTTGATTTGAGATGTGTTTTGTCATTTCGATGTTGTTATGTATGATTTCAGGCCTAGAGTAAGTCCGTGTTATGTTATGGGACTTTTTGGTATGTTCGTACGGGTTTCGAGGGGCTCGGGTAAGTTTTGGATAGGTTTGGGTTGTGTTGCGTTCGTTTTTCTTATGTTTTGACGATATTTCTTCAAGCATAAATGATATCATATTGAACATATGAGCTCCGATTTCTATTTTGATTAAAGCATTAGATATGTATCGTAATTACGGACCCGTAGAAAAAAGAATCGCCGAATTTGGACATCGTATGAGAATGTTATGGTCATTTTACTAAGAATTGGGTTGCCAAATTTTTTTCTGATTAATTACGCAATTGCCACTGACTTCGTATTTAAAAATCTGCACATTTTCAAATATTGAAACCAACATATCTCCTTCATTATAATGTCAAATGGACTTATTCAAAAGCCTATCTTGACTGAAATTTCATAAGACATCCATTGGTGGCATCAAAAGAAAGTTTTGGGATCATTTAATACGCAAAACGAGGCAGAACAATTGGGCAAAAATACTTAATATCGAATGTTTGTTCATTTGGTCATATTTTGAGTTGGGAGCTCGGATTTAGACAATTATTGGAGGCGATTTTCACCATATGGATTGGGGTAAGTGTTCTATACTTGATTTTGGTTATATTTCATGAATCCATCTTCGTTTTTGGCATTTGATTGATGATTTCAAAGTGAAATTTGGGGGTTTTGTCTAAAATTTCATAAAGTGAATTTTTGAGTTTTGAACATCGATTCGGAGTCGTATTTGAGTGAAAGTAGTATGGTTGGACTCGTAATTAAATGGGTTATCGAATTTTATAAGTTTTGTCGGGTTCCGAGGCGCGGGCTCGAGTTTGACTTTTTGGTTGGTTATAGGATTTTGATTAAAGATTCGGCCTTTATCGATTGAGTTTGTTTTCTTTGGCATTATTTGATGTATTTGAGTTGCTTTTGGCTAGTTTCTAGCCGTTCGGATGGTCGTTACGCACGGGATTGCCATTTTTTGGAGCATCGTTTAGCTTGCTGGGTATTGGATTTGGCTTATTCGAGTTAAGTAACTCTTCTAAACATAGTGCTGAGGGTATGAAACCCCGTAATACATGTTATGTGATTGGTATTGAGGTGACGCACATGCTAGGTGACCGGCGTATGGGCGTGCACTATGTGAATTGGGACTCTGTTGCTTCCATGGCACTGTATAGTGGACCTAGTTTGTTGATATTTGTGTTTTCACCATGCGATAAGGTAATTGAGCTGTCAATCATGCTAAATATTATGTTTAGGCTTCATGTCGATGTTGTTAGACCCATAGTGGTCGTTTCTTGCTGCCATCTCTCTGATTTCATTGATATTTAGTACTCAGTCATATTCATGGATGCATATCATATCTCAGTCTCAGTTGTTACTGATACATCATATCGTTGTTGTAAGGCTAGTTTCATGACATTGTGAGCCCGTGAGTGAGACTGGAGTGACTGATGACTGAGTGAGGCCGAGGGCCTGAGTGAGAGTGACATTTTGGGATCGGTCTGCACGAGCAGCATATTATATTATACTTTATAGGATCGGGCTGCACGACGCAACATATTATATTATATTTTATGGGATCGGGTTTCACGCTGTAGCAATATATTGAATATATTTTATGGGATCGGGCTGCACGCCGCAGCGATATAGTGCTTGGGCTGAAGGAGCCCCTCCAGAGTTTGCATGCCCCAGTGAGCGCAGTAAACTATATATATATATATATATGTGTGTGTGTGTGTGTGTGTGTGTGTGTGTGTGTGTGTGTGGGGGGATCGGGCTACACGCCGCAGCGATTATTGTACAGCATTGAGTGATTAAGTGTGCCGAGAATTGAGCATAGTGAGAGAGGATACGAGACAGTGAGATTGAGTACTCTGAAAGTGTGAGTACATGATTCATCTCTGGGATACATGGCATTTGCATGCACACATGACATACATGCATAGAGATGCATTTTTTCTCATGCTATATAGTATCACGACATTCATGACCTTTTACACACATTGATATGTGGGCATAGAGAGGTAGTTTTCACTTTTTATCTCGAGAAAAAATGAAACATCTTATTTATTGTGGAAAGAATAATTGGAAAAATTAAAGTTTTCAAACTTACTCGTATTTTTGGCATTTTGGTAAAAGATTTTGACTTTTTACTGAGATACTTGAAAAGCATGCCCATTTTCTAGAACTGTGAACGAGCTGAGCATCTTACTTATGAGATACCTCTTTTATTACCTGTATTATGCTGTTATGAACTGATGTGGAATATTGGTATTGTACCCGACCTTGTGTTAGCTCGTCGCTACTTTCAACCTAAGGTTAGGTTTGTTACTTACTGAGTACATGGGGTCTGTTGTACTCATACTACACTTCTGCACCTTACATGCATATGTTAGCTGTTGATGTTGTTGTGTTCGATGGAGCTAGATTGAAGATGTACCTGCGTCCCGGTTGTAGCTGCCCCTTGTTCATGGTAACTTTAGATCTATAAAACTTTATTTATGTACTTTTCAAAAAGACGATGTATTTATTTCCTTTCAGCTTTGTAAATTCTATTCTTAGAAGCTCTTGATTTGTACTACCAGTCCTTGGGAAATATATAGGATTTAGATATTTTGATTTACTTAGTTGTCTTATTAAATTTCATTGAAATTGGATAGTTATTAATTAGCTTACCTAGCATGTTGGGTTACGTACCATCACGACTAGTTGAATTTTGGGTCGTGACAAGATGGTATCAGAGCTCTAGGTTCATAGGTTCTACAAGTCATGAGCAAGTGTCAAGTAGAGTCTTATGGATCGGTATGATGACGTCCATACCTATCTTCGAGGGGCTACAGGACATTTAGGATATACTTCCCATCTTTCTTTCCTTATCACGCGGCATTGATTCAGTTTGAAGCATAAGTCTTTGAATTCTTTCCATGCATTCGTATGCGTATGTGAGTGCTCGGTATCGGCTCTGCACCGGCGGCTTGGAATTCCATGGATTAGGTACGAGATGTGATTTCAGTGTGCTGATGATGGGCCAAATTGGAGTACTTGAGGCCGGGTGGTGACTGTAGCTTGAGTACAGAGGTTTCGATTGTGTCAGCATGTGCTTTTGGACTTATACGTCCAGTAGTGTCCCTATGAATGGACTTCGTGGCTCGATGTGTAGATGGATGGCTATATGGTGAGTATGATGTGACTGCAAGATGTGTTCAGATTGTTCGAATGTGATGGGAAGAGTTTAATTGAGATGTAGGAAGGACTATTGGGTGTTTGATTTCTACCTCGATTTAGCGTATGGCCTCGAGTTATGGGTGTGTTGAAGGACCTCCCATGTTGTTTAG